GGGTCTCATGTGTAACTGCCGCATGTAACCGCTTGTAACTGCCATTGTGCAGAATTTTGATTTAAGGTGGAAATTCGTCTAAGGCAGGGGACAGAGAGTTTTCTAGCCTTAGACTGATTTGTGAAGCCTTCCTTTGTATTAATTATCGATTAATAAAGGTTGGGACTTGGTCCTGTAAACGCTGCCTGTTTATTGTTTGACATTGCTGTTTAAGTATTTCTATACTTAGTCAATTCTGTGGGTGTAAGTAGGCTGAAGTATTACAGACGCTGTAAGACTGCCTAGAGTGGTGTGCGAGAAAAATAAATCGACCCTCTTTCAGATGGCATAAAGAAGGACATTGAAAAATATGTGGCCGACTGTCTATATTATCAGCAGGTTAAGGCAAAACATCTTCAGCCTGGCGGTATTACTATGATTATTATGGTTCTGACTTGGAAATGGGAGGCTATTAATATGGACTTCATGGTTAGTCTTACGAAGACAAGGAGACAACATGACTCCATATTAGTTATTGTGGACAAAATTACTAAGCCTACCCATTTCATCCTTGTGAAGTCTACTTAAAGAGATGAGGATTATGTGAGACTATATATTGATGAGATTGTGAGATGGCATGAGATTCCTTTGTGTATCATTTCATATAGAAGAGCTTAGTTCACTTCACATTTTTGGAGATCCTTCTAGAAGATCTTAGGCACACATATGAAATTTAAATCTGCCTTTTATCCTCTGATTGATAGGTAGGAAAAGTGCACCATTAAGACATTGAAGGATATGTTGAGGGCGTGTGTCATTGACTTCAAAAGTAGCTGGGATGACCATCTGCCTTTTATAGAGTTCTCGTATAATAATAGTTATACTCAATCATTGGGATGGCACCTTTTAAGGCACTGTATGGTAGAAGGTGTAGGTCTCCGGTTGGGGGGTTCGAGGTTGGAGAGTCATCCATTTTGGGTCCAGATATTATTCATTAGTCCATAGAAAAGGTCAAGATAATTAGGGACAGGTTGACTATTTCTTACAGTCGGCAAAAGTGTAATCCAGACAATAGAAAATGGCTCTTAGAGATTGATGTTGGTGACTAGGTCGATTTGAAGATATCACCTATAAAGGGGGTGACGATTTTTGACAGGAGGGGGAAGTTGAGTTCGAAGTATGTTAGGACATATGAGATCACACAGCATGTGGGTGAGGTGGACTATGAGTTGGCATTGCATGTAGAGCTAGATTCTATTAATCTAGTATTTCATGTCTCTATGTTAAAGAAGTTCTTAGGTGATTCAACATCGATTCTACTTGTTGAAGGTTTGTGGGTCAATGTAGAATTGTCCTATAAGGAGGTACTTTTTGAGATCTTAGGTAGATAGGTCAAGCAGCTGAGAAACAAAAATATTGTCACATTGAAGGTATTTTTGATACCCATCTTGTTCAGGGTTGTACATGTGAGGCAGAGACAGATATGAGATCCTACTATCCACATCTTTTCAGTCTTTGAGGTTCGATTCCTAACTCTTAAGTCAAAGTTTCCTTATGTCTCCATTCTTTGTTGCTACTGCTTGACTGTGCATTGTGGTTATGATATGACTGGTGTTGTGCTAGATTATCAGAAGTGTTATTCAGGGAAGAATTTTCCAAAAGGGGGGGGGGGATAATGTAACAACCCTAAAAATGTATATGCTAAGTAATGCTTAATGTGTCTAGTATGCCTACGATTAGAATGGGTTCACACGTATTGATCAGCGTAGAACCAGACCATTGAACCCTTTACGACATCCACACCAACTAATTTGGGGGATTACTTGAGCTACGAAAGGTTGGGTCCAGCCATGTAGGACACTCGAATACGAATGTTTACCCGGATAATTCTTTATCGGACATAAAGAGGGAAGATCTTAAGTTTG